ATCATGAAGGTGGTCAAGTATTGGAAAAAGGTGTCCAGGAGGCTGTGGATAACTGTCCTTCTTCATACTTGGAAAGGTCTTCATCTAGTTAACTGTGCATTTAGCAAAGGGTTGGACCAGATGATCCCCAGAGGTCATTGCCAACCTACATGTTTCTGAGATTCTAAGAGGCTCTGGCTTCTAGAAGCCAGAGCTGGACTATTCTTGAAGACAAAAGTTATATATATACACGTTAGGACTAGGCAGACAAATAAAAATCCCTCCCAGGCTATAAAGTCAGAGTTTTCTTGGCAGACCAACAGTTTTAGCTCAAGAAATTCTCTGTAATTTCTTCTAGCTGAGGTGCTTATTAATTAGGAAGTGAAATGTAATACTAAAATCAAAGCTGATCAGTGAAAACATAGTAATTCAGCCTAACTAAAAGGCAAAATGCTTGACTGTATCAAACTTACAGTTGATGTTACAGAGGAAAGATTACCTGTAAATCTTCTATTTTTTTTCTATTCATCCTGGGAGCTGCTGCAGGCCAAGAGCAGTTAGCTTGCTGGAGCACTTTCACAGGAGCAACTTACCTGCTCATGTGTTTTACTTCATATTGTCTCTGTCAGAAAAGAAGAAAGGCAGTGGGGAAGCAAAAGACCCAATCCTGTGTATTAGCATGTGATGTTTAGTCACCATGCAGAGAGGCAAGTGTGTCTACAACATCTGAGAAACCAGAGAATCTTGTTTGTTTGGGAAGAAAATATAACTAACTTGTTGCTCTGCGCCTTTGTGAGCTGTGATGGAGACGTGCTTTAAATGACGTACATAGGGAACAGTTAGAATCATAAAAGAATCATAGAATGGTTAGGGTTGGAAGGGACCTCAAAGATCATCTAGTTCCAACCCCCGTGCGATGGGCAGGGAAAGCCTCCACTACACTACGTTGCTCAAAGCCTCATCCAACCTGGCCTTGAACACTTGAAAAGGAGCTATGAGAATTTCCAGCAGGTGTGGTGGGGGTGTAGGTGCTGTGAGCCTTCAGTGGGCATATGTTTCTCCCTTTTAAATTTGAATGGGATATGCCAAGGTGGTTCTAGCCCCAAACTGATCATCATTCCCTTTGAGATGATACTGAGGATGGAACTGAAAGTGAACTTTTGTTGGAAGGTGCTATGGGAATAAAGGAGCAGGTTGTGCATGGGTCCATGCATGCACTTTAGTCTGGTGGATCAGAAGATGTGCTGAAGTGTGCAGGCTATTTTTTGCAGCCAGCTCAATCTGAAGTCTCAATTTTTACTTTCTGGCGTGTTGGCTTGGGTTCAGGTAGGGTTCTTCTTTAGAGAGGGATGATAAATGTGCTGACATGTAAGTGCTTGTAGCTTTTACCAAGTGGTGAAATTGAAGCCTCCACCTTGAGGTTGACCTCACCTAATTTACCTTTGCAATAAAAGATATAGTGTGGGTCTCTGCTGTCTGCATACTCACTAATAAGTGTTAATATCTGTGATATAACAGTGTACTTTTGGTCAAGGAATGCAAATAGTAAGAAAGATAAAACTAGAGGCTTTATTTAAAAACAAAAATGTTTTTCTGTGGAGGAAAAGCATAATACTACTTATCTAGGTTTTGACTTTCTGAACAGTGTACATTAATTTTGGTTCACTGTATGACTTCCAAAATCTGCAGTGCATGAAACCCGATTCCCATCAGTAATAGCTTGGAGGAACCTCTGAGCCT